GGACCTGATTTTCTAATGCTTGAAAAGTGGCAGTGCAAACAAACAAACAAACAAAAAAACCCAAGGAAAAAAAAAAAAAAATCTAAAACCGCCAGACTGTGCCCACAAACAGAGTCCCCATGCCCCTCTAAACCAGGACCTCTTGAATATATATTAACAACGTTTTTTACAGAAACAGGACACTGGCTTTTGTGGTCTCCTTGCTTTCCCTGTGGCAGGTTCAGGTGCAACGTCTCGTGTTGTGTCAGAGGTGACAGTAGTTTTACAAAGAGTTTAGATAATGGATTTGTATGAGGTAGTTTGCGCAGGGCTGATCCTGCCTCAGACAGGGGTTTAGACCAGATGCCCCCCTTTCCAGCCCTGCTTCTCTATGATCCTATGAGATCTACTCCTGTAGCCCTTTTCCCTCCCCCAATTTTTTCAGCTTCACTCTTGTTGCTTCTACAAAAGCCCTAAATTCTGTGGAACAGAAGCCTTGTCTCTGGTATTCCAGAGCACTTCTGGGGGCTCTTAAGTAAAATGTGATCAAATCAATAGCAGAACAAATGCTTTTGGGGCAGCATCTTGCAGCTTTTTTGCCAAGCAAACATCAAATATAATGCCATGAAAGGAGCTGCCGGAGGTTGGCAGCACTTAAAGTTTATTTAAAATTAATCTCAAAACATATTTCCATTAGAGGCTGCAAAAAAAGGAGGGGGGGTGCATTGCCTTGGAACATTCACAGTTACATAACTGAAAGCTGCTGGATACACAGCAAATCTTTTACTCAGTGACAAGCAAAGGAACCCACAAATACTGGCCTCAAGAAAAGCTGGTGTTAGTGCAGGGAGGCTTAGACTTTATAACCTGAAAAGCCAAACAAAATTATGGATATTATATCGTATTTTTCTGAAACCAGAAATTAATACTTTTAATGCAAAAGTCAGGCTGAAACCTGAGGACATATTAGCTGCAGATGTATATCTAGTCACAGATACAAATGTCACTCCCCTGCTGTGTGCAGACTCCGTATGAAAACTTCAAGCAACTTTCAGAACTATCCACGACAGATCCTCAGGTATCTATTTCCCCCTTTACTTCCTTTCTTGGGCAGGCCCACATACTGTCCAACAAGGAATCACTGCTCCCTCTTCCAGGGTCAGCCAATAATTTCCCTTATTACAGAAGATTTTTTCACAAACAAAAACCACACTATTCCCTCACATCTCTCCAAGGACTCACACAACAGCACACACCTCTATCCTAGCCCCTCCCAGTTCCAAAGGCTTTAAACAAATCTTAATTACCTATCATGCTACCATATTATTAATCAAAAACTTAGAAGGAAAGGGCATGTGATTAAATGGAGAGCCAGGAAAAGATTTCAGTGAAATCAAATAGCTTAACAAACCTGATTTTCAACATACGGGAACTGCCTGTTCGTTTCCTTCTGTTTCGTCCTGTTGCCCAGAACACCTCCAAAGCTACCAGATCCTTGAGAGGGTTTCACAGCTGACAATAAAAGCACACTCCATTTAACTTGGTTGCAGTTTTGTGTCCCGCGACTTTATTATAATAAATATTTCAGCATCAGTTTTCAAAACATGCACCATATACATGCATAAAAACCAGAACCTATATCCAGCAGACAGTACAGTATCCAGAATATAAGAGTTTAAACAAAGCACATGCTTACAGATATTTCTCATACTGGTTCTGGTCTCCAAACACAGCAATAAACTATTAACAGAAAAAGAAGAGACAAGGAGACTGTGCTTGCACAAGAAAACCGTAAGTTACAGGCAAGGATTTTTCAAATACCAACCTGTTTATGAAGCAAATACAATTAATGTTATGTTCATATGCTGTCTAGCTTGTTGCACTATGCAGAAAGACTCTACAGGGAAGTTATATAATGTCAAAGTATAGTTTGGCTTGCTGGACTGAAGGAAAGCACTCAAAAGCAAAGAATAATTAAGTTCCAGACAGATAAGGAAGTGAAAAAGAAGGACAAAGTGGAACTGACACAAGCTCATTCAACATCTGTTGCTACTCAGGCTATTTGCAATGTTTTGGCCTTACCACCATGAACTCTGTCCTTCAGGATGGCATCTAGATACATCCTCATTTCATTTGCATCCTTAGATGGTACCTTATCAATTGTCAGGAAGCTGGCATCCTTTAGCGTTAGCATCAGGCAACACAGTTTTCCACCATTTTGTCGCAGGACCACAGTTTTAATGTTATGGCTTAACTAGAAAGAAAATAAAAGCGACTGTAAATGAGGATCAAAGAAATAACCATTTTAAAGCATCCTCATTTAGGAAAAAGAAAATCCCAAACCAGTTATCTTCTGCAAATGCACTTAAATACTAGTATTTTGTTTCCATTCCATTCTTGAACAATGGTCAAATGCCCAAAATTAACACACTCTTGAGTTTCACGGAACTACAAGAACGCCACCATCACTCTGGCTAAATAGCCTCTGCTTTCAAGCATTTAGTATTTTCTGAAGCATACTGTGCTGAAGTGAAATCTCTCACACTTGTCAACCTTCAACAAAAGAATGCCTGGTGCCATGCTGTTTAAAAGCAACTTTTCCCCCACGTCCCTCCAAAAACTCAGGCCTTAGCAAACTTTTACAAAACAAAATTCAGATCTGGAAAAGGTCTCAATTTCCACTGGCCCTCAAGGAGGACAAATTCCCAACTCTGTGGAAAAAATGTGGCTAGGAAGCATGAGTGTGGATGTGCATTCAGTAAATATTTGACTTTAATTCTTTTTTAAAGACAAAATAAAGTAGCCGTGTTATTATCAAACATGCCTGTAATTCAAAAAGCAGATCACCGCTCTAATTATTCCTCTGCTACTTTCTACTTTTTATACCTTAAGTTCTGAGTTACACTGAAAAAAAAATCATCTGTCTAGTACTTGTTCAGTTATATGTAGGTGGAGGTTAAGTGTTTAAAACAGATGAAGAAAAAAAGAAAGATTATTCATGGTCCTCAGGAACCATCAAACTTGTGCAATAGTTACCTAACTGCATGTTCCCATTTTAATTACCCTTATCCTTCCTCATTTCTTCCCTCCTTCTGTTACTCATTTAGTCTTGCCCTAGATTAAGATCTTGCTTTACAATGTATTTAATAAAGCATTTTCTTTGTGCATACATGGAGGTCATTACAGAAGCAGGAACCAAAGGTTCTGAGTGCTCACAAGCACCAGATCTATCTGCCATGTATTCTGTATTTGTACTGCACCTAACACATTAGCCCCCTTACTCTGCTTTGGATACTATACTAGTACAAACAATATAAATGGTGATGTTAGGCTAATACAGAAGCATGCCTCAGACTGCAGCAAAAGTCTTACCATCCGAGACAGAAGTTGTTGCCTGTCTCTATCCAATAGAACTATTTGATCTAGGAAGCTACGAGTGATAGAAACATGGTCCTGACCCCTTCTGATTATAAATTAAATTAGTGTTCAGCTCATCAGATAAGGATGAATGCTTAAGGGGTGGGGCGGGGCAAAAAAACTTATACTACAGCCACATTTTCCTGTGTCTTTAGTCCTTAGCTTTGAGAAGCCAATATAAGTAACACACAAGTCCATATATGAAGTATGAAATCCATGTCAGTCAGCAAGTGGGTTTTTTGACTGGTGAAATTACCCACCAATCTTTCCCAATTACCCAATGCACACTGAACTAAACATGTTCAGTCAGTAAGAATTCAAGAGGGTCTATAAACTTTCATTCTCTTCTAAAATAAACCCATCAGGGAACACTCTCCATCATGTCACCATCCAAGTCCAAACCTTCAGCTGAAAAACTCTAATGAGTCAACAGTATTTATTATCCACCACATTCTGCATTTGTTCGCCATACCTTATTTCAACTAGATTTGTAAGGCCTTCATGGCACTTTCCTACTGTGTTCCCACATAGCACCTAACCCAAACAAGTCTTTAAGCAGTAGTGTAACATAAGGAGTTTGAAGAGCTGCTAGCACCTGGAAAGACGAGGTTCTTTAGGTAAACGTGATATCTTATTAGACCATCTAAACAGTTGGAAAAATTATTCTTTGCAACCAATTATTTAGTTGGTCTAAAAAAAGATCATCACATTTAACTAAAGAACCTTGTCTGCCTATGTCTTTAGACCAACACAGCTACAACCAACAACTCTACAGCATCTAGAAAGATTTTCTTCATTTCTTCTAGAAGTTGACCAACTAATTCTATGATGAATTTGAAATGGAAGATGAAAAAGGACCGACACTTCTGCCAAAGCCTTGTGTAAGACGAACCACTATTCAATGCATGTGTCACCTGACTGTTGAGAATTTAGCCACATACATTTTAAATCACCACTGCAACAGCTTTCTGTCACTTGAGATAGATAAGGCGTTCAGCATTGTTTATCTACATTTTTATATCAAAACATTCACAGAACACATTGACAGCACAGGACAGAGTCTAGAGAGCAAGCAGGTAACAAGGCTGATAAAAGGCTTAGAAAGCAAGTCACATGAGGAGAGGCTGGAGCTGGGCACGTTCTCATTAAGAAACTGGGGGACTGTGGTGTTGACAC